TTTGAACAACCAGAATAGTCTGAGAGAATTGTCAATCAACCATGGCAATAAAATTCATAAAATCACGAAAAACCTGTGTTTTATCATCTAACAAATAAATCCAAACAACACGAGAAAAATCATCTATTATTGTAAAAAAATAACGAGTTCTACGAGACGAAGCATGCCTATATGAGCCCCATAAATCACAATATATCTTTTCAAATATGTGGCTCGCTTTATTATCACTAGAGGGAAATTTGTCCCTAGGGTGTTTAGCCCGGAAACAAACTTCACAATTCTTATCTAAGCTACCCTTAAGACTATCAAGAGGAAATAACTTCACTACATTCTCCGAAGGATGTCCAAGCTGCTTGTGCCATAACTCTAACTGTGATGTTGCTCCATCCACTAAAAGGTGTTGCACAGAATCACCTCCGAAGTAGTAAAGTCCATCTCGTCTAGTTCCCGTTCCAATCAGCTTCCCCGTTCGGTCCTGTATAGCACACAAAGAGGAATTAAAAGTGACAGTACAATGCAAATTATCATTTAATTGAGAAACCAAAAGCAAATTACAACTCAATTTGGGAACATATAGAACATGCTTTAGCACAATAGAGTCCGATAACTGAATTGAACCCTCCTCTGCAAAAACGGTCTCACCATTCGGTAAACCAACCGCACAATCAAATATAGGCATTGTATCAAACAACCAATTGTTAATGCCTATTACATGATGTGAGGCTCCCGTGTCTACAATCCACATTATTATTGAACTTACCATTCAAACTATTTTCTGACACCTTAGTATTACCAACCACTGCTGCTATAGTCTTCCATTGATCCGCGGTGAAAGCCGACCCAATGTTGCTGCCAGGGACACAGCTCCCATGCTGTTGCTCTGCGTTGCATTGGCTCGAGGTGTGCCTCAACCTCTACCTCGACCATGCCCCCCTCCTTTAGTCTTGGTCTGTTCGAACCAGCTATCGGGATAGCCAATAATCTCATAGCAATTGCTAACATCATGGCCATTCTTCTTGCAGTGTGTGCAAACCAATGTCCAACAACCCGAGGCTTCATGCCCTATCTTCTTACAGTTAATGCAAGTTGGACGGTCTCCTCGACCACGCCCACGACCAGCACGTGGTGTAGCACGAACATTAAACCCAACAGCCTTAGAAGGCTTGTCATCAGGGATCAATTTGGCCAACCTAACCCGTTCATCTTGAATGGCGAGTTGGTAAGCACGATCTATTGAAGGAAGAGGATCTTGCGAGAGGATATTTGCACGCAATTGGGAATAATACTCAGAGTATAAACCCATCCAAAAATCATGAAGCTTGGCCGTTTCTCGTCTTTGAGCATGCTGCTGACCCGCCGTACAATTAGAGCAGCAAGAACATGAAATTATAGGCTTATCATTAAACAATTCTTCTCATACTGCATTCAATTTCCCATAGTACGTGGAAATTGACATAGACTTTGTTTGTTCACACTTGGCAATTGAGGACTTTAATTGTTGGATTCTTGGACCATTAACCAAAACAAATATTGGTTTAAGATGATCCCACAATTTTTTAGCCTCCCTGTCAATGTACCTTTGACCTCTAGGTCGATGGTATTATATATCCATGAAAAAAGCATTGTATTAATGGTATTCCAGTCCGACTAAGTGCACGGTGGAGTTGGTCCGTTAATCGTGCCATCCAAAAAATCAAATTTTCTACGTGCCGCCAAGGCTATCCTAAAAGCTTAAGTGTATTCATTGATAGCCAAGAGTATATATAGCGTACAAAGGAAAGCTAACTTATGCCAACTATACAATCAAATCATATCTTTACATAATTATCTTATTACCATAAACTTATCTTAACAAAGATAGATTATTAAAATTAAAATGTTGGTCAAATCCTTTCCCACTAGTTACGATAAACACACCTCTTGCGGAATAATCAATCGACCAAACAAACAACCCACAAGCACACACAAGCTACTAGTTTGTTCACGGATCACACTTAACCCAAGCTATATGAAATATTCTCCAAGATCAACAAACCACCAGTAATATCAACACATATAATGCAGCAACTTAAGCAAAGAACAAGCATAAACAACCAAGCAAGAGACACAATTTTTACGTGGAAAACCTCTTCGATGTGAAGAGTAAAAACCTCGGGACTTTAGGAGTCTACCCAAATTGTTCTTATTATGATCAAATGAATGTTATACAAACACAATTCCAAGTCTAAAAGATGGGTACTCAATTACCCAACAACAACAATCATAAGAACAAAACAGTTAAGGAAGAAATTGAGATATAAAACCAGAAAATGGAGCTTCTGTCCAGAAGCCGTATCTCACGAACCAGAGCTGCAAATGATAATTCGACTGTTGAAAACGAAGCCCTAGATGTCCCGGACAAGTTGTCAAAATTTGAGCTAAATCGGATTATGGATGAGCTTCGGTCGGGTTTGATTTATGAGGCTGCGCAGTGAAAACCTTGAGCTGGGCTACTCTTGTGAACTCTCTGTATTTTTTCTTACACTCTCAACTAATTTGCTTCCCTCATTAACTCACTATGTCTGGCAGCAAGTGTAGTATGCAAGACCCTTTGTTGCCACTCATTTTTGCACGGTAGGCACACCAAAGAAGTTAAAGAATTAAGCTTCCTTGAGAAGCTACGACCTTGGGCCAAAACTTGACTAGTTGCCCCAAAACAATCACAACATAAAATGGGCTTTCCCACTTAGGAAGGGACCCACAGCCTAACAACTCGTAGCCTAACATTAATGTTTGGGAATTCTTTATTACATGTGTGTGTTTGTGTTTATGATTTAACTGTTTTGTTTTCTCATGGGATAAGATGAGGGGAGTGCAAGACAATGATAATGGCTGAGAGAAAAAAAAGCGCTTTGTAACTTATTTGTTGGAGATGGTATCGACTGCTTCCGTACCTAATTTATGTTTATAGTCAAACATAGTATGTCTAAATATCTTATATGTCTATAATCATTTAATAATGAATTGAAATTTTAATTTTGGTGATTTTATACATGCAATGAATGTGGTTTTCATCACAAGTTTGTTACCAATGTGCTTGGGGGAGGGTATGGATAAAGTATTTGGAGGAATAGGGTAGGGCACATCAAACATATCAAAGATAGCAACAATTTAGCTTAATATCAGCTTTGAGGAGAAATGGTTTGGTTTTAAACCATCATTAAAGCTATTTTATCTGGATGTAGGATGTAAAGGTTTGAACTTTCCATTAATCAGTTTGGTTTCTCTATCCCATCTTCAATGTTGTTTTACGCAAAACGAGGAGGGTAGATCAGACATGCTTCCTTGAGGTTTGGGATTATATCACTCCACTGCTGTCATCCTTGCAGCTAGGAACAAACACTTTCTAGTGCATACGTTATGTGCGGTTGAAATGTTTAGTTTCATGTCGACTTTCTGAAATTGGATGGTATAGGATTTTACTTTTAAAATTCCATTTCTTCTATATAATTTACCTGTGTTCCTACTACTAATATTCTTGTTTGAATTTAGTCTGTAATACAACTAAATCATCGTATTTATGTAAATATTGTGAATTGTGGCTTGTGATAGGAATTGTGGCTTACAACATCTTAGCTTCAAAGTCTCTCTTTGTATCCAATGTTACCTTACATCTATTTGTTACAAACAGGCATCAAAGGTAGGATTTTTTGCCACATGAATAACACTTTGCCTATTACAGTAAAGTATATAATTTTCTTGCTTGAATCTCAACTCTTTTAGGAAAAAATTCATCCACAAGAGCTCTTTGCAAGCTTCTACTGTTGCAACAATAGTCCCTACTTTTAATGTTGATAAAGCAACAAATTTTTGGAACCTTGATTGCCATGATATAGCCCCCCCCCCCCCCTCCTCAAAATTCGTCATATAACCACATACTGACTTTCGTGAATCAAATCAATTTTCCATATCTGCAATTAATGTATATCGCTTTGACACTGGTTATTTTTATATATTTTTTTTCTTTAATCCAAAGCACATTATTGATGTACCACATAGATGCCTTAGAATTCATTGCTTTCCAGTGTTCTTTCCTGGGTTTGAGGCGCTATAAATCAAGGTGCGTGTCAACAGAAATATGAGGCGCTCAACTAGGCCTGCTCACAGATCGGATATCCGAATACTCGGATATCAGAAATTTATATCCAAATCCGATTTGAAAATTTCGGATATCCAAAATTTCGGATCAGATGCTTCGGATATCCATTATCCAATATTAAATAAAATTATTATGACTACTTTCTAAATTTCACCAATTTTACCCTTTTTTTATCGCTAAGTTGTACAACATATTTTAATAAAATAGTAGTCCTTTTACAATAAATATTATCATCAAATATATTAAGAATATTATAATAAGTTAATAATACAAGGTTAATTTTATATGAACAATTTAAAAATTTTATATATATTTAACTATTTTAGGCTTTATATTTCGGATATCTTTCGGATATCGGATATTTGAAATTTTGAAAATTAATATCCAAATCCGCATTTGATATCCGCTTTTTCGGATCGGATATTCGATCCAAAATGAAACTCGGATCGGATATCCAAAAATTCGGATCGGTTGCAGATTGGATTATCGGATAGTTTTGTACAGGAATATGCTCAACCAAGGACCTATAGGGATCTGGATTAAACCTCTCAACTTAACTGGAAATGACACAGAAATCTTGTATATAATAATTAAGTATATATACAACCTAGCACTGTTATTTACATGCCAAACATTAGAAATATAGGAATCTTAGTAAAAACAAAAGGGGATTTGTAACATAATAAAACTTTGGTAAACAATGTAATATTCCATGTAAGCCTAAATATTCTTCCATAATACAGTAGCAAAATGTATATTGCTGGTCCTTAGAAGTATTTACTGTTTTTTACTCTCTTCTTTTTCTACTTATATATATGATTAGTGGCTTAACATAGTGCATCAGTATTGAGATTAACGAATTTTTGCAATTAGATGGTTGGAGTTAGAGCTCAAGCTGGTTGCTGATGTTGGAATTATTGGTGCTCCAAATGCTGGAAAAACCACATTTCTTAGCGTGATAAGTGCTGCTCGACCAGAAATAGCAAACTACCCTTTTACAACACTGCTTCCTAATCTTGGTGTAGTTTCATTCGATTATGATTCTACAATGATTGTAGCTGATTTACCAGGTTTACTTGAAGGTGCACACCGAGGTTTTGGTTTAGGCCATGAGTTTCTGCGACATACTGAAAGATGTTCTGTCCTGGTACAAGAAATTTGTGAAATCTTCCTTGTATATGAATTATTAGCATTTTAGTTTTAGATTCAAAACAATAAAATAACAATCAATTGTTTGACATAATATATTGCTGACCTTTGTTACCACATCATGTTGGACATGAGTATGCATCCATGTGTCTCACTGGGTTAGTAAAAAAAATGATCTGTATCTTTAGTCTGAAATGAGTTGTCAAATGTTATGTCCATGTCGAACATGAGTACGCATCCAAGTGTCTCACTGGGTTAGTGAAAAAAAAAGGATTGTATCTTCGGTCTGAAATGAGCTATCAAGTGTTCCTGTCCATGTCGGACTATCAAGGATATCACATAATCCGATATGAGTACTTGAGGTGCCATGATAATTTGAGTTACAAAGCAAATGACCGTTGGAACTATAAATTTTAAATTTGTACTACACTTCAATTACCAATAAGTTTACTTTGTATTTAGCTGGTAAGGAAGAGATGGTTGAACCTCTCAATGTCTTTTCTGAATTGGTGAAAATGATGTTTCCTGAACTTAATTGGAATGAAGAAGAAAGGAATAATTAGATTCCTATCTTATGAGAAAGATCTAGATCTGGATTATGAAATGCCTTTTTACCTTCCACAATAGGAACTTGATGTTGATGAGTTAAAATCTGAGCTGTGATGTCTTTTGACTGCTGGAAAATATAGGGAACTGTTGTCCTGCTAATCCGCTAGGTTCTTCTATACGTGCATCTTCTAAGTTATGAGCCATGTGCTGCTTATAATAAACTATATGTTTTTACATCAGGAATATTAGTGTAGTATATTAATCTGGGCATTGTTCAATCATTTCATCTTACGAATGAAGTTCACTTCTATATTTTCTCAGACTTTTGCATCCTAGTATGGGTTACTTTAGCATCTTATCGTGTTGAACGGCCTGAACCCATGATCTGGACCTTAGGGGTCCCATAACCCAATTTTAGAAATGTGAACATGATGATCCCCCCAAAAAAGAAGAGGCTGTTTAATTAATAATATGTTAGTTATGACTACATTTTTGTTTCCATTGTAAAAAGCTTAAAGAATTCAAAGTACGAGGGTTATAATAAACTATATGTTTTAATGTTTGTTGAGTAAGCTTAAGCTGTTTAATCCTACATTTCCTGACACAAGTGCCTGTTTGCATTTTACTTCAGGTGCATGTTGTTGATGGTTCATCTCCGCAGCCAGAATATGAATTTGATGCAATTCGCCTGGAGCTTGAATTGTTTAACCCTGAACTTGCCGAAAAGCCTTATCTTGTTGCTTTTAACAAGATGGATCTTCCAGAAGCTTCTGAAAGATGGGAAGTTTTTAGGGAACATTTATTAGCCGAGGATATTCAACCTTTCTGTATGAGTGCTATAAGTAACCAGGGTACACATGAAGTGGTTTGTGCTGCCTACGAGCTCGTAAAGAAATTTAAGGAGGTTGTCAAAGAAGCTGAAGGTAAATTTTTGTTATTTCTCTATGTTGCTTTTAATAAGATTAAACCTGTTAGTGGTGAACTTTTATTTTATCCAGAAAAAATGAATCATACCATATTCTTCCGCTATGGTACTTGCCAATTCCTTTTTCCAAAATCAGTGAACAAAGAAAGAAGGCGCCAAAATCAATTAGTTTCTTCAGCATAACACATTCTAACATTCCTGATTGGACATTCTTTGTATAATGATTTGCCATCATTGTTAATATCATACTAGCTCTTAATAATTCATGGTCTTAAATAATTCTTCCTCCATTCTTTCTTAAGTGAATCAGAATATTATACATCCATACTCCTGTCTCACATAACAATTTTCATTTCTCCCCATGCTTGTCCCACAATAAACTTTCCATTTCTCCATCAAGTCGTGTCCACAAATTATGAGATTGCTTTATTTTTCTTGGAAATTTTACATGGTGGCTTTCAAGATTCATAAATTCTATTTGGTAGACCAAAAAAAAAAAAAATGTCATAATTTCTAGTGGCATTAAAGATTTGCAAAGCTCTATGTAGTGCCCTTATTTCATTAAATTGGGCTTAATCAACAAATTATGGCTAACCTTTTAACTCAATATAGTCAATTTCCTAACCTACCCTTTATTTAAAAAAAAAAACTTTTTTATTTTTCTTTTTCCCCTTTCCTCCTCCATAACTACAAGCCACCTCCCTTCATGCCCCACTTCATTTTCCAGCTGCCACCACCTTTCATCCCCGCCAAACAAACAACAACCTCACGTGACCCCTACGAAACGTTCCCGGCCAACCTTTCTCGTCACGCCACCCCTTTGCATCCCTTTTTGATTTTTCTACCAACCCACCATAAAACCTTTTCAATTTCCGGCTAACCCAACCTAAAACCTTTTTGATTTCCAGCCAACCCGAAAAATACCTAGTCAAAACCCTCACCCACGCAACAATCAGCTTGTTTAGTAAGCCAGAGTTGGGTAGGTTTGGGTTGGTTTCGGGGATGAGGAGCGGCTAGGGAAGGGTGGGCCAGGTGGTTAGGGGTTGGAGGGGTCGGAGGGGGAGTAGCAGGGGAAGGGTATGGGTGGTTGGGGACATAGGATGGATAAAGGGTGATTGAGGTGGTCGTATGGTGAGGTGGTGGTGGTGAGTTAATAAGGGTTTAGGTTAAATTATTTAAGGGTTAGTATGGATTTAGGACTCAAAACAACCCTCCAGGTTTTAAAAATATAATTAATATTAATGAAATCTCGACATGATCATTGGGTCCACATATAAAACTTGGTTTGGGTCCAATTTAGCATTTTGGCTATAATCTACTCGTTATAACCCGGATTTGGGTTTATAATATATCGTTGAAAATCTCTTTTCAAGCCCCATCTAACTACACAATTATTGGACCCAGATTATGGACCAAATTAAATTGGTTTGGACCTTTTTATAAATTAGACATGAAATAAGTTATTTTAAGGACACAAAATGAATTATTTTGGCTATAACATTTAAAGAAAATGCTAGAATCAAAGAAATTCACAAGACTCTTCAAATTTTCACCTAAATCAATAATCAAAAACATGGTTTAGGGTTAAAAATTGATCCTAAAATAAAAAATGGTTAACCATTTGATGAAAAAAGTCACTAAATAGAATTATACCATTCTTGGGGTTCACTAGAAATTATGTTTTTTTTTTTTTGGTCTAGCAAATAGAATCTTGAAGGCTACCATGTAAAATTTCCCATTTTTCTTCCTTCCTGGGATGATTTTAAATGGTCCCTCAATGAAAACAGTAAACAATGCCCACTATTTTGTATTCACCTACATTCAATTACACTCAATAAGGCCCTACCATCAACTCTCCTAAAACTATGAGCCCAAGGAAAATGGGAATTTATGGGACAAAATGATTGTTAAATGATTTAAAGTTATGTACTCTTCACCTTGGTCCTAAAAATTGTTGTCTATTCTTAATGTCTTATAAGAATCACATCTATTATTCATTTGCTTATTGCCAAATATCTATTATTTCTTATTAATAAAAATTCTTAAAATCTGATAATTGAAAATTACACAGTAATGAATCTAACAAGATCTTGCCTAATAATTTCCTCTTATATATCAGCATAAAAATACAGTCAATGTTCAGTTAAATCTAGAAGTTGATTAGATCAAACCTTATACCAAACCAGAGGTTGCAATGTTCACATTAGAACACCTTCAGCTGTTGAAAACATAACCTAAGTTTTATTGGTTTTTAAAGCTAACTAGAAATATATACTTGGTACGTGATAGTGAAAGTGATTTGTTACAGTAGTATGGCTGGTTCCAAGCTACACCTCTCAAGCTATCAAATCATAGATCTTAAGGGAAGACCTAAGCAAATCAGCTCAGTTGAATTGTGTAAAGTGACAAATAATTTTTTGTATAATTAATTTAAAGAGATAAAGTAAGACAACTTGCTTAAGTGAACACAAAGTAAGGAAAGGAGGGAACAGTTGAAAGATATTCAACATTGAAGAAGAGAGAGAACACATTGGCTGTCTTTACAAGAATGTGCCTGCAGACTAGAGAGATTTTAATTTGCCTCTTTCTGAATTACCGTCATATCAATATTGTAATAGCCTTCTAAGATGATTGTAGAACAAGGTTTAAGGTTCCCTTTCCCTGCCATTCGCTTATTAAACATGTGTGGATCAAGATCCTTAGATCGATCAGGGGCTCTTTTGCTGCATCCAATGTTGACAGGCCATATTAAACTTTTTGTCTGCTTTGACTATCAATCTGTATAAGTCAATAGTATATGTGAAAGTTCTTTATTTTCTTCTTTTTTTTTTTTTTTTATATTTTATATTTTATATTTTGTAAATCTATTATTTTACGGCTATTTCACTAAATGCCACTGAACAATTTAAAAATTCACCAAATGTCATCGGACTTTTCAGAATTCACCAAATGCCACCGAGTTTTTTAAAAATTCACCAAGTGCCATTAATGACTAACGACAGTTAACTCCGTTAGTCATTTAGGCTAAATATGCCACGTGGCATATTCTTATTGGTTCATTTTATTCTTATTATTTTATTTATCAAAAAACTAAAATAAAAAAAAACTTAACCCCAGCCACTCCCACCGCACCACCACCCCTACGCCAGCCCAACCCCTTGCCCCCACCTCCACCGGGGACCAGGCCAATATCCTCTTCGCTATCGGCGGCCACCCTTCCCCCTGATCCTATGCCATCGCCACCATCTCTTTCCCAGAACCACCTTCCCCCACCCTAAAACCACTCCCTCCACTTTAAAAATACCTCTCTCCCCTCCCACCGTCGCCCAGCCCGCCCCCGGCGAAGCTAATTCGCCCATCCCCTTTACCATCTCCATCCACTTTCATCCCCCTTAAACCACCATCCTCGACACACTAAAACCACAAAATTGAAATCTCCAAAATCGAAACCCTAAATTTCGATTTTAAGGTTTTCGATTTTAGGGTTTAAGCGAGGTGGTTTAGGGGGTAGAGATGGGAGGGGAAGGGGGGAAGTTTGGGTTTGCCGGAGCGGGGAGGGATTATTGGTCGCCAGCAGTGGGGAGTGGAGGGGGCTTTGGTCGTTCGGCGGTGGGGAGGGGAACTGAGGTATTTTCGATGGAGAGAGAGTTCACGAATCGCGGGAAGGGTGGCTGGTTTGCGTCGTCAGCGTGGGCCAGCTAAGCTGGGTCGGCGGCATGGTTGTTCAGAGCTGGGTCGCCGCGGTGGGGACTAGCTGGAGGCGGGGATAGGGTGATGGCAGTGACAGATGGTGGTTGGGGCTTGGTCATGGTGGGTGGGGTTTTTTTTTTAAATTTTTTTTTTAATTTTTTTTTGAAGTTTTTTCTTAAGTAATTAATTTACTAATTTGATAAGCAACCAATCATAAGCCACCATGTGGCATAATTAGCCTAAATGACTAACGGAGTTAACTGCCATTTAGTCATTAATGACACTCGGTGAATTTTTTAAAAACTAGTTAGCATTTGGTGAATTTTTAAAGTGCCCAGTGATATTTGGTGAAATAGCCGATTATTTTATCTTCTTCACTAACACCAACTGATCAAAGCTAGCCGTCAAAGATTAAAAAGTCACGGATTGTTATTTATTCTCAAACAAAGAGAGAACAAAATTTTAAAATATTTTTCCACTGTTACTTGTTTATCAATCCTAGCATTTAATTTACAGAATAGTGCTCAATATTACAGGTTGTGCTGCACCTATCAATCTCAATCATGTGGCTGAGGAGATAAAGAAGAAACGAGCTGTCCCTATAAATGATTTTGAGATTACTCATGATAGTAGCTCAAAGACGTGGCATGTGGTTGGTGATGGATTGGAGCGGTTAGTTCAAATGACTAATTGGCAATATGTTTACAATACTTGCATCTATTTATTTAATTTAAACTTGTAATGATTCTATTACACGCACTATTCTGCCTTACTTTCGCATCTTACACATGATCGGAGATATCTTTGAGGAAGTCATGTGTAACATTCCTAGGCCTGAAAGTACCTAGAGTTTAAATTTAAGACTGTTGGAGCATCTAATATGGTACCAAGGAGGTGCTCCTTAAAGCTACATTTTTTTGGATCTACTGAGAATTATATACTGGTTGATAGGAAAGTCAATTTTTTGCATCTAATATGGTACCAAGGAGGTGCTCCTTAAAGTCCTGAAGATCTGAACAATCAAATAGGATATGGATGTTTAGAAAAATTCAAGTTGGCCAAGGGAATAAAGCTAGTTACTGGGCTTTGAGGCTTTGTTATCTTCATCTGAAATGTACAATGTTTAGCATAAATCAGTTTATATTAATATATATGTTTTGAATCAGTAATAGTAATTTTGAATCAATACAATATAGTATTATTGTGTAAAAGTAGTACCTTGATTTAAGAAATATGTATACCTAGTAAATCAGTAATAACATGTTAGAATCAGTGAAACTAATAAAAATAAGGCTGAATTGATTAAAGATAGGTTTGATCAGGGAATATCAGTTTAATCACTAAATATCACAATCTTTAATACGAAGTAGTAGTTCAATCAATAAGAATATTTTTACAATATTGTGAAAATTAGGTGAAAAGAATAGGGCATTATTTGGGTAACATTGTTGCTTTGGATTATTTGCCATGATTATTTTTTTTCTTATTGTTGTTTTATCACTTGCATGTTATCAGTTTGTACAAGAGATAGAGACTATTTTAATTTGATCGTTTTCTTTACCTTTTCTTTTAAAATCTTAAGATTTTCAATCAGTTGGGTATTGCCTAAATCATCAGGTGGATGCCCATTGTTCTACCTCTAAGTTGTGTAAAATTGCAAACCGTTCCTTTCCTTACACTGTTTTGTAACAGGTATGTGGATTCTGAGAAAAGGTTCCAACATGTTCTTAAGGCTTGTGGTGTTAATAAATCTCTGATTGATCGGGGTGTGAAGGAAGGTGATAGCGTTAACATAGCAGGGGTATGTTGGAAGACTCATACTTAATTTTTTGTAGCCGTTTTTCTTCATCTTGCCTTAACTCTTTTTATTAACTAGGGATTCTAACGCGCTCGATGCGTGTGGTATGGCTAACCCTTATAGAAGAATTTTTCTTCGATGGCCTCTATGACCTATGCCTGTCTTGGTAGTATTATTTAAGTATTTTCGTATAGACGATAAATGTGTTGGATGTTGTGTAATTGTACAATGTTCAAAACTTTAATTGAGCTATTTTGATTTAGTGATTAAACAATAAAAAGATAAATTCTATATAGGAAAATGAAAAGAGCAAGGTTGTTTTAAATATTGAAATATACTTAATATCTTAAATTATTTTAAGGAATTTTAAGAGACAATTTTAAGGCTTTTGAACTGCGAATATGTAAAAGAATAATTTTAAGAATATAATTGTCCATGCACTATTTATAAGGTTTTTCAAACTTTTTTTAAGGTAGGGATAGGTAAATATTTTTTTTTTTGAAGTCTTGTATGTTAGTATCATATTTATTCTCTACTTTCTCCATGTATTCTTCTCCCTTTATTCTCTTTTTATCTTCCTACCTTCATCTATGTATGTGTTTATTTATTTATTTATTTTTGACGGGCCATCAATAGGTTTTTTGTTTTCGTGCTTTTGCTTTATTTCATTTATAGTAAAGAAAACTCTCCATTTTTCTCTCCTTTATGGCTTCACCCCCACCATATGGTTCCATTTATAGTAATTGATAATACGCATATTTGTTGATAAATTATTTTTCCAACTTGAAAAGTGAAAGGGAACCACTTTTCACTAACTTTCCGCTTTCTTTAATTTCTGTTGATACAATAAATAAGAAGAAAAAAAGAGAAAGGAGGGAATATCTATAACAATTTGTGCTGGTTTGTTTTTTGTGCTTCAGGTAATTAAGGTTTGTGTGGGTAGATAAGTTTGATTAGTCATGCTCTTTCTTCTCTTGTCTGAGTTACGGAAAGATTCTTTGTTTACCAGTTTTGATTATTATTTGCCAAATGTGTCCTAACAAACTGTTTTCCATCATGCAGTTGGTGAGGATATGGTACAATGCTCCAGGAAGTATTGGCTCCTCAGGTGCAAAGAATAGATCAACAAATTCAATCAGGTGGCCTAACTGGAAGTGATCCATCCATCCATTACACGAATTTCAGCCGACATTGCAAGCATGCAATGAACAAGGCATCTAAGAGGACGCATGATTGGAAAATCCACCAACTATATTATCTTGGTATTGTTCAATATGTATCATAATATAAACGCCAACAATATCTAGTTTGATTCATTGTAATTTTTTGATATGGTGTGCTTGCATGATCTTGTACAAGAGATATTCACATTTATTGAACTGCGTATATATTGGTATATCTACTTAATTCAGAGACGTGTACTCAACGCTCATGTGAAATAGAAATGGTGTACAAAGCTTAAAACTCGAGAACAAATAAAAGCAAGAATTATAATCTCGTAGCCATTCATAGGCCAATTAATAATAACGTGCAAAATAACGTGAAAATCTCTGCTTTTGGGCGGGTAACATGTCAAGTGCCAAACAAATACGGAGTAATTTGTGAGAAATGACCTATTTAGTGACTTATGATGTGATACACACATGACGTTAAAAAACTCGTATTCTCTCTCCTCGTCATTCCCCTACACCATGTAATAAGAAATAAAAAACAAAGATCTATTTTTGACAAATTTTGTGAGTTTTAGAGTTCAAAATTAAATAATGATATGATCTTGGATCAAGATCTAGACATTAGGTTAAAATAATCAAATACAAAGTAAGATTATCTAGCAAAATAACTTGATTCACTAGTCACAAAAATCTAGAGAAACAAGGATTTAATCTATCAATTACAAAGTTGATACAGATTGAGTTTTTACCACAGAGGAAAGATCACAAAGAGCTTAACATGGAGAAACTCTCATATTTTTCAATAATTAACAAAGTCTATGTTGTATATCATTAAATAACTTCTTTTATAAATGAAGCAAACCCTAAATCTCATTAAGTCTAAATCTTACAAAATAAAAGGTCCGGATTAATAATAAAATCAACTTCCTAAAAATTAAACAAACTAAGCCACATCCAAGTTAGGAATATCATCCAAATAATTCGTACGAGCCTAAATATTATTCTATTTTGATCAAGTCAACATTAATCGTATATGGCCCAAAAGTGGTGTTGATGCTCTTGCATCACCATGGAAACATCATTCTCTTTTCTCCTCCTTCCCCTCCTTATTACCCCTCCACCGAACCATCAAAATACTAAGCACTACCACCTAAGATTCGCCACACCCTAGCCCTCACCACAAACTACCACCAAGGAAAACCTTAACCACTCTAAAATAAACCCTCCCACCAACTAGAAACCCCTAAACAAAACCATCCTAGCCTTGGGGGTGGGGGTGGGGGGGTGGGGGGGGGGGGGGGAAGGAAGGGGCTAACGACGTATGGGAAGGGGCTGGCGAAAGAAATGGAGGGTTTTTTTAATGTCACTTGCATGACACATGATAGTCAACACTTGAAGTTTTTTGTCAATGGTCAGACTTGTCAAAAACTCGTATCTCATAATTTTTTCAAATTAAGGTCCTAGCCACCTTTTTTGTTTAATATCAAATTTCTCACAAATTTTCCTAATGATGATGCAACTATTACTTATGGTCGAGGAAGAGGTTCCGATAGCCATTATGAGAAATATACTTAAAATTTTTAATCTATTAAAGTATTCTCATAGGTCGATCTAGTATGGTTCTAAATCAATACTCATGCAAATGTTTTATGACAATCATGTCCTTGTAGCCAAAAAACGGTGCTATAAATCATACTACACAATAATCTCAAGTGGTCATTAATCGTCCAACATTTGAATGACTTTGATTAGGAATATTACGATTATAATATTCAACATTCACTTAATAGTTATTTCTTTATCCAAAACATTGTCTTGATTCCCTATTTTGAATATTCTCAAAATTGAATGAACTCATTACTTAATTATAAACCACAATTAAATATAAATGGATTGATAAAAAAAAATATTGCATAAAATTTAAATTACTCCAAAAATTGAATAGTTCAGCATAGTGTTTTTCATTAAAATATCCAAAATTAATAAAAAAACATAACTAGGGAAATCAAAGCTAATCTCCAACGTGCCTGATTCCCATTGCCTCAACATGCTTGTTGTGTTTCACTTGTGGCAAGGATTGATTGAGTGGATCGGCATCATTGTCGTCCTTTCAAGCCTTACAAATTCTGATTTCACCCTCGGACTACCATTCCCTTATCATGTGAAATCGCCTTTTGACAAGGTCAAAGCAATAGCTCCATTGTTATCACAAAACAGATCTATTGGACCTTGATGGAGGGTATAACATCTAGTTCACCAACGAATTTGCGAATCCAAATTGCATCCTTAGCTGCTTTAGAAGCTACCAACTATTCTACTTCAGTTGTAGAATCTGCTGTTGCCCTTTGTGTTTCGGGGTTTTTCGTGTCCCTCTGGAGAGTTACAGCTCAAGATTGGATTCACAAGGTTGCCAGTACCTGCACAATAAACGGACCGCCGGATGGTCGGTGGTCCGCCTCCGAAGATTAAGTTAGTAAAGTGTTCGGAATAAAACGTGCGGGAATTAAGTTATCTGCTCGGATTCCATGCTCAGGTGCTGTCTGTTTCTTGAGAACGACAGCTCAGTAATAATTGCAATAATTATGTAACGTGTCCCCATAAATGAGGGGAATGTCCCTATTTATAGGGACCTTGGGAAGTGTGTCTTCCCTAGGGTTTGATGACCTAGGGATTAGGGCACGCCGTTTTGCGGCGACCTCAAAGTTTGGGCCTTGAAGGCCGCCATTTCAGAGACGATATATGAGTGACACGTGTCGCTCATCCTAAGAGGCCATTTGGGCGTCTCTCAGGGAAACCCGTGTCGCTCTCTTATTGGTTCACTTGGGATCATCAAATACCCCAGATTAGGGTTGTATCTGTCTGACACGTGTCACCATCTGGAAGGCCCAAGGTGGCGCCCCTTCCAGTGACATGTGTCAGGTTCTGATTGGGCCACTTTGCAGGGTATAAAATACCCAAAACATTTTCCCCTCACAAGGGTCACGTGCTTGGCACATGATGCCCGTGACAGGTGTTAGGCTATGAATGGCCTAAAAGTTACCTTTTAATGTTCACTTAGTTCTAGGGTTTTACCATGAACATTTTACCCCCTCTATAAATAGAGAGGTTGACTTACCTTGCATTCACATTTGCGTGAATCTTTGGGAGAATCTTTGAATTTGACTTGTAAAGACTTTGACTTCTTCAGCATCCGAAAGTCGACCCTCTTAGTTCGCCTGCTCAACCAGACGCCCCAGACCAACGACTCTTTTTACCTTCTTCTAAGGTAACCGCCTGATCCCTTCTTTACTTATTTCTTTGCATTTTTTCTTTATAAAAAATGGTTCCCAAACGCACCCGGCACGGCCTAGATTAGCGATCAGCCGGTCACCGGGGACAGCTGAATCTAGAACTAGGAGTGCCGAATGCTCGTTCGAGAACTTTCTTTTAAGTACATCTCCAAATCCGACAGTGTCTGTGCCTTTGAAGGAAACAATGGCTAGAACAAAGCAGACGACAAGGAAATATAGGACGGATGGTTCTTGGTACCATTCAGACAGTGAGAGTGTCTTTTCTAACAGCTCCATTAGAGCGACTGTCTCGGAAATAAGTAGGGAACCCCCTAGCACTGTCAGCACTCCCAATGACACATTCTTGGAGGAGTGTGATGAAGAATATGAGAACCCCGTGTTGAGTGGATCAGTGCCAGATGATGAGCAGGGGGAGGACACTGCTAGTTCCAGCTAGCGGGCCCCCAGCTCTGAAGAGAGCTCTGATAATGACTCTGCGTCTTCATCTTCCAACTGCGCCCCTTTGACTCGGAGGAGGCGCATTCAAACCTTCAAGCTGCCAGAGAGTCCCTCTTCATTGAGAAGGGAGAGAGCTGGGAGGATCAGTCTGCTTCCAGGCGGCATGAACATGCACCTTATTATCTGCTTGTCCCAAAAGGCAGGCGGAAGATCATGAAGGATGATCTTCCTAAATTTCTTTCTACCCATTTCATGGGACATGGGTTTCTTCTGTCCGTGAAGGATGTTATTGACACGGTCACCTGGCCTGAGATGGCCTGCTATGGTGACCAGTGCTTTGGCTGCTACGAAGCAGCCATCCAGGCAGAACTTTGCTTCCCTCTTCATCCGGCTGTGGAGAGGATTTTGGACGGATATCAGCTGGGTATCTGGCAACTAGCCCCCAATTCTTGGGTCAACATTTTAGGCTACATTGCCGCCTGTGAGATGCTAGAGGTGGTGCCCAGCTTCGAGGCGTTTGCTCACATGCATTACTTGAGCAGGACTCCCAATCCAAGCAGGATCGGCTTGTTTACTCTGACCAGCCACACCCATTATATGATGATGCTGGGGAAAGAGGACAAATGGAAGGATTGGAGAACTAAATTTTACATAGTCTCTTCCCCAGACCTCCAAAGAAACAAGAGGTACAACCGTTGGACCCTGTATCCGCTCCTCTTGGCTGGGAAGAAAGCCCTTCCGCCTGTTCCCAGGAGGGCACAAGAGGACATTTTTTATCAGGACCTTTTTACTGTGGCCGTCCGAACGAAAAACAAGACGGGGTCAAGGAAGTCACCCCCCAAAGCTATATTCCCAGATTCGAGTGGCTCTTGGACGGGAGGTACTTGGTCGCCTGCGGCCTTAGTACTGAGATGTCGAGAGGTAGCTGACCACATGAATTTATTAGCTTTGCTACCATTTTATTACTTATTTATTTCATTGCAAACTCTTTTTGTTGTTTGTTGCAGACAAAGCAATGGCCAAGCTTCCCTCTCACAAGAAGCCAGCTACCTCTGCCGCTTTCTATCGCTCAAACCTCAAGTAGGCAGATGAACAGCCGATAGGCGGCACTCCTATACTGTTCAGCTCTTGCAAAATTTCTTCAATGAAATACTTAATATATTGTGTCTCAAATACTCATAATTAGAATTATTTTCAGGGTGGCTCATCAAAGCCTGCTCTCTCTTCTCTACCGGACCCCAAACTGCGCAAGCAGTCG